TAATATATATAGTTATTATCAATAATCTACGGATTAGTTATTTTGATGTCAAATTAGGTCAATCTTTTGCTATCTGGATTAAGATTAATTATAATATGTATAATATTCTTGAATATTTTTTCTAAACTGTATTAGATTATCATTTTAATATTTGATCTATTCTATAAATCTTCTTGCTATATATGAGAATAAAAAATTGTGACATTTTTAATCAATATAATATATATGATGTATTCAATAAATATTGCGCAAACAATAATGATGAAAAATTGAAACATTATATTAGAGACATATAAAATATAATGTGGTACAGTTTCTAGCAGTTCAATTTCGACTTTTATAAATAAAATCATTGCATCCCGTATTTTTTTAAATAAAATCAATATATTATCATTGATACACAGTGGTTTTAGTTATAAGTATAGTACTGCAAACAACATGAAATGTCACCAACAAGAATCATTTAATAGTAGTGATGGCTCTTAAGATTTTTCAGTGAAATCTCATTGTCAGTGAAACATAAGACGAAAGAGCAAAGTATGAGTGTTTTCACTGAAGATCAGTGAAATACTCACTGATCTTCAATGAAATCTTGTCACTGCTTTAATCAATGATATTCTCACTCATTCAGTTTAAGAGAGTACATAATCACTTTTGGCTCATTTCCTATTTTCTTTTCCGCTTTTGTCGAAAAGAAAGTTTACGAAGAAGTTTTTCACGGAATATTCTTGATTTATTTTTCTTTGTAGAATAATCAACTTATTGCGCTAATAATGGGACACCCTGTGTATAAAAGGGTGAATGGTGGGGAGTTTGATAGAAACTCGGAGAGGGAGTTACTTCTGGCTCAGTTTGCTCTTGTACGACCTTGCGCCAAGTCACGCTTCGCATCCCCTTGGCGCTGTTCCCCCCCCCGAGAGACACCCTTCACTTCCGACTTCCTTTTCACCTGGTCTCTATGCTGTCTTCATCGTGATCCGTGTCTTTCAAAGAGAAATAAAAAAATTCGTCATAAAAATTACGTTTGTGTCTCGTAAAAGGAAGAAAGTGATAAAAGTGGAAAGCGATCTACGTATTATCTACTTTTGGAGTAAATCTAGCAATTTGTCGTGGATGGATAATTATGACGACGACGAAATATCATTGGATGCTGTTAATATCGTTGTGGCTGATATTAGGATGCATTCTAGGTTTGTTATATACAAGTTTATGATTTATTGCACATTTTATATATATAAATGGAGATATGATATTGAAAGTATTTAACTTCTTCAGTCACTGAACTATTTTCTTCTTCTTTTTTTTTTTTATTTTGCCTTTGCTTGCTTAGAATTAATTAAAGAAAAACTAGTTTATTATCTTAATTAAACGAAGATTACATATAAAATTTATAGAGATTTGTTATTTTATCGCTAAAATTCATATTTTGCAAATATTCTACATATTTCTTTTCGAATCACCCTGTACATCAGAAAGCCTGTCCACGTGCACTATTTCTGTCCCAGTACTTTTGCCCGCTTAATATAGCGCTTACGTATTTTGTGATACTATTGTCCCATTTTCTTGCCAACACACATGCAATGCATATTTTAGTTAATATCTAATATTGAAGTTAATAATAAATGTCTATTTTTTCCAAAATTATATTGATCTAGAATATATTATATGTATTTTTCGCTTAAAATATCTTGAGACAATTAAAGGAAGTGTAAAGAGATGCAGAGATGTAGAGATGCATTTTGTCTATTTGTGCACAGTCGCGAAATATTTGCGAAATGCGTGGAACAAACGCGATTCTGAAATGATGATATTCTGTTGAAATGTGTGTGAGTTTAAAATGTTTGTGAAAATCTTTACCATAAGCTTTGAACTTATGAGCTTATAATGAACTTATAAAGTATGATATATAATTAGAATTTTAATGAAATTACTCATAATATACATTTAATGAGATGAGTGGCTTAAGAGCTAAGTGTTAATTGTTAATGAATCAGAATTTATTACTGACACGTGTTGTATAAAATATACTTACATTTATTCGTACACAATTCGGAAATAATTAAACAAAAATATGAACAATAGTTTCTCGGTGAATTCTTGACTATTTCTTTTATTATAAAAAACAATAAATTATTCATTTCTGATTATATTTGTTATAATTAAATAATCAATCACATTTGAAAATATATCGGTATTGATTCTTTTATCGGAGCTGACCTGTTTTAAGCTCGAAATTTTCTGCGACATGTGCAACACGTGTTAAACAGATCGAATTTGAAGTATATACGTGCGGCTATAAAGTATTTATAGAGATCGCAGATGATCCTCTTTAAACCATTTTTTCGCGCAGTATCCCAAATATTCGGAACAATGGAATCGTTTCAGTTACATGATTCTCGATTTTAAAATTCTAATGTAAATTTTTCAATAAGCTAACTTTTTACAAATTTATTGTAAATTTTATTTAAAATACTGTCGGCATTTTACAAAATGCGATTTTCCACTGTCACTTTATAGTAAAGTTAAAATTTCTGGAATCCGATACTTTATATAGCAATTCAATACATACATTCCTTGACAATAATTACAATCTTCTCATAATTGGATCTTCAATAAGAGCTCGAGCTTGAATTTGAGGATTACCACTCTGCTCTCTTTCCAATTTTCGTTTTTATCAGATAGACGACTTTATCTTTCCGAAATTTGTGATTTCTGTGTCTTCAACGATTCTCTTGTACTATAAACTTTCCTTTGTTCAATTGCTTGCCGCGAGCTTGTTTTCCGCGACATCGCTAACGAGCTCGGTTCCAAATATTGCATAATGAAGTGCACTTTGTTTTCATCGCGTCGCGAGACGAGCTTTCTGCAACAGAAGCAAAGATAATTGCAAATATTATAATTACTAAGTTGTCGCAAAGGACGATATAAAAAAAAGATAATATAAAACATATCTAATAAAAATTATGTAAGAATTATTGTGTAAAGTGAATATTAAATAGTACAGTAAAAAATTCTAATGAAAATATATATATATTAAAAAAAATAAAAGTGTGTATAAATACTCATATAAATACTTATCATAAATATGTATTATTTGTATAGGTAGATAAATAAAATAATATTATCAAGTTTTTTTGTTTC